ATGAAAACCACAAAGTTAAACAAGACCTTGTCACAGTTTTATTTCCCGTTGGTTTCAGTTAATTTGGAAGAAATCTGTGAATTTCATTAGTCTTTTTTCTATTCCTGTTCAGTTTCCAATATGACATACTCTCATTATCTCACTGCTTTCTTTTCTTTCATCCCCAGTTTTTCACTCATTTTCTTTTCTTTTTCTCAACGACGTCAAGTTTTTATTTATTTATTGAGTGAATTAATTAAACTTTCCTGGTTCTACGATAAAAATGCTATTTCATCATCATGTATTTTTTTTAAATCTTCAAGTAAAGTCAGTTTATTTAGAGTGTTATGAGATAATTACTGATTTCTCTAAAGCCTTGCATCCATAACCATCTAAATCAGATGATGTTTTAAAATAATTACGCTTTCTTTAGTCTGTGCATAAAATATCCCCGAAAGTAATAGGACAGTTTAATAAAATTTGAATTTCGCCAGTAATCTTTCTTGACCAATCAAATACACGCATTCGTGACCAATCAATATATTCTTCCTCGCTAGTTTCATTGTTGTTGATAAAACCCTTCTTATTGATATCTACTCAACCAGCCACGAGCTCAGGTTGTAACACAAGGTCGGTTTAATGTGAGGAACCCGAGCATGTACAACTGGGCTAGGAACAAAAATTGCCCGAGCAAGCACTGATCCCTCCCTCTAGTGCAATGAGAGGGCGTGGCATCGGGTAGGGCTGGGAGACTCAATATAATTTTCCGCAGATGCGACTCCCACGTTTGACGGAGCCGTCCTTCAATGCACTCTTCCCAAAGACCGAGACGCAACTGAGGAATAATAAATACGATGTTACAAACTACTCGAGAGTAATTTACACACTTAAACCCTTCTTATAGTGGAATATAATTACGAGATATTCAGAATTCATATCTAAATTTCCGACAATACATTTTCTACACAACTCTATCCACTCAATTACTTATAACTTTAAAATTAACCCTTTTTCAGAGAGTTTCTTAGAAAGGAAGATAACTGCATCCACAGTTTAGTCTAATATATAACTTTTAAATATCTATATTTCATTCCAAATAAATATTATCATTTGAAAAATAAAGCAATGACCATTCCAGGCGTAGGCGATCTTTTCTCTCCACAGAGCGGTTTTTCTTCTGCCATTTGTCATTCATTCTTTGGAAAATAATGGAGTTATTTCCCGGTGCTTACGCCATGATATGAAATTTATAATTTTTTCTCTCTAAGACTAGTCGTCACCCAAAGCGAAATAAGCCAGTATATCCGGTTATTTAACCACTGTCTGGTAGAAGAGACTGATTCCTGCTTATGCCAAATTCATTAGCGCGAAAGTGAACGCAACAGACTAACACGGAATTTGAACTTAGCTTACAGATTATATCTTCCGTTGTATCTGAACAGTAAAAAGGATAGAATCACTTTATACTGCCTTGAATTTCACATATTAGCCCTCAATTATCAGAACCATTTTAACAGTAATCCTCTCAATTGCTTGTGGTCTAAGCGCGATGGTTTCTTTTAAGTTATCTTGGGTGCGTTCGATTGTATATTTATGGACTGTTTGGCTTTTACTAAAGAGTGTTTGAACTATTCACACAACGTGTATTATATTTAGTCCTTATTGGTATATCGTACTGTCTACGCGCTGCATGGATGTTTCACCTAGGTAAGAATGAGTATACACACTATGGTCAATAAATATGTACCTCTAGAAAATAGGTATTTGTTTTTATTCAAAGATCATTTTCTTTTCAACCAAACGTAACAGGATCTCGTTAAATATTACTGAATCAAAAGGGTATTGCTTGCATAAACTATATAGCAATGAAATTATTAGACTACATATGCGCCAACATATATATATATATATATATATATATATATATATATATATATATATATATAGAGAGAGAGAGAGAGAGAGAGAATAAATATACATATTATTCTTCACGATAGCACGACTCGGAGTTTCATGCCCAACGCAATCTCCAGGTGCTGAGTATAGACTGAAATTCTCTGTGTTTGTTTATATATATATATATATATATATATATATATATATATATATATATATATATATATAGAATTTCATAGACTATATCTGTAAGGGGACAAAGTGAAGAAAGACAAAAAGTAAAACTTACCCGACGTGATTCTTCCTTTGAGGAACATTATCAAGATAAATGCAAGGGTTTTATTGTGTTTTATAACAAGTATTATACAAATACTTATTACAAAATAAAATCCTTGCATATGCCTTGATAAAGTCCCTCAGAGGACGAAAGGCGTTGGCTAAGATAAATTTGTTTTTTCTTATTTATATATGTGTGTGTGTTTGTATGTCTGTGTGTGTGTGTGTTTGTATATATTATTAAATAAAAGATGTTTGACGCGTGTTTCTTAACTTCTTTGTTTATTCCTCGTTTCGTTGATAACGGATACAGGCGTGTCCGAAAATTCCAACTTTCTCTTTCGTACTTCAGTTTAGTCAAAAGGCTAATATATAATAAATGTCATCAATCTTTTTGCCAATATTGTTATCATTTTGATGGCTTTTATCCCTCAAATTTTTTAAGCGGACTATTAAATCTCCACACACACACACACACACACACACACACACACACACACATATATATATATATATATATATATATATATATATATATATATATATATATATATGTTTCTTTTGTGTGTTGAAATAAGTATGGATTAAATTTTAAAAAAATAAACTACAAACAAGAAAACGTTTATAAATTTAATTAATTTCGCTTTTAACTTTACGTTAAACTTAGACTACTATAGTTGAGATATAAATTCTAGCATATGTACCAGTTATTGCCATCTTTTGTAAACGATAGATAATCCTTATAAGTGAACAGATAACACCGGCACGCTCATTTGGAAACACAGCGATTTGTCATAAATACTTAAAGGAATTATATTTTATTCTAGACTGAAACGTCTTCTTATTTATTGTTTCAAAAGATAACAGATTTCTGTACCTACGACATATGTACAGACTCGCCATTTGTAAAAATAAATTTTGACCAAACACTCTGAAGCTTTTAGGAAAGCAATGAATGTATTCTATATAACATAGGTCAATAGTTAAGATGGAGCGTATTAATATCTAGATAGCGCCCTTCCCTCCATTAGAATGTCTGACGCTCAACTTCTCGAGAGCAACTCTCTGCGGCTTCTCGGTCTCACGTTGACTGCTGACCTGAAATGGAATAAATACATCGAGTCAATTGCTTCGTCCACCGCGAGGAAAGTTGGCTCTCGATTCTCCAGATATACAAATCCACAATCCGCCCTTGCATGGAGTATTGCTGCCATATATGGTCTGGCGCCCCTTCTGTTTGCCTCGGGGTTCTTGATAGACTCCAGAGGCGGATATGCAATATGGTTGGCCATGCCCTGGTGTCTCGTCTACAGTCACTTTCTCACAGACGCGCCGTTGCCTCCCTCCGTCAGTTCTACAAATACTTTCATGGAAATTGCTCCGAGGAGCTGCATTCGCTGGTTCCCAGGCGTCATGAGTTCCAGCGCACTACGAGGTGGCATCCCGCTCTCACACCTTCACTGTCGAAACTCCTAAATGTAGCCGTCTCTTCTACTCTAATAGCATCATGTCTCGCACCTCTCCTCTGTGGAACTCCCTTCGCTTCTCCTGTTTCCCTGTGAGCTATAATCTCCAGCTATTCAAGTGTAATATCAATCGACATCTCTAGTTGCCTTGATCTATCCACTACCCTCATCCTTTCTTCTATCACTCCTATCTGATCTTGCTATTTTCTGTAACCCCTTGCGTCCTAGTGGCTTCCCGCCTTGCTCGGGGTGAAATGCTTAAAAAAGAAAAGAAAAAGTAAACTAAAAAATGCGAACCTTAAACGATGAGGGTCGTAGTCTATATGATCAGAGGCGGTCACCCAAGACAGAAGCACACGTGTTCTCACCACGCCTTATTCGGTGGGTGGTGACATCGTTCTATCACCACCCGAGAGATTTTATCTCCACTATTATCTCCCTTGGCTATCAAATTCTCGTCTTAATACACTTTTTGCTTAAGCGCTAACTTATATTGACTTTATCGGCTAGCGTAAAGACGCTAGTGCCATATCGTTATCTTTGAGGCTTATCTTGGTTCTTTGTCAGTGTCACAACTCGTCTCCTATCCGCTCAACGGGTGATATTCGTCAATCCTTTTTTTTTTTTGCTTTTTCTTATCGAAGATCTATATTTCTGTTTATATCTTGAAACGTGTCATTTTCTTGTAAAGCCGAAAAACGTACTAAACAGTTGATATTTGGTAAAAAAAAATATGCGTTACTCTAGAAAGGTGTGTATAGTTAGGTCTTTTGTGAGTTTAGTTTGTTCTTGCTATAATGTTATTAATAATAAAGAATAGAATTGATCAGTACAATGATAAATGGCTTCTTAGGACAGGGGGACGTCGCTGATATGAGGACTCAGAAAAAGTACGTATAAAAGGTGTCACATAAAAGTTGAGAAATTTGAACATGAAAAATATTCTTACACAAACACTGTTTTTTAATATTCTTTATCGGCGTAATTCTCTTGTCTGGTGTTTGCTGATTGAATCGTAAAAGGCATTCGGAAATGTAACGGCCAAAATCTGGGGTACATTAGATACGAAAGCATGCTTTCACACACACACACACACACACACACACACATACACACACATACATACATACATACATACATACATACATACATTCATACACAGACACACATAGCATTTAAAGTAAAAAAAAATACATCTATTAATTGTTTAGAAATTGCTTTGTTTACGTTTTGGGTTTCGGGTTTCGGATACAAAAGTGAGCAGATATGGGCTTACAGGAAAGAACTTAACGAGGAAATGTGCGTCCCTTAAATGGGAAAATTGAACCTTGTTGGGTTGTTCACTCTCTGTGGCAGAACAGTCGAAGCCACGCTGGGTCAAACAATAGATAGATAGATAGATAGATAGATAGATAGATAGATAGATAGATAGATAACCAGGAAAACGGTCAGGCGGGAATATCGGAATTCATAAGGAAATACTTCTCGATAGATAGATAGATAGATAGATAGATAGATAGATAGAATAGATAGATATGAACAGATATATATATATATATATATATATATATATATATATATATATATATATATATATATGAACAGTCTGTGGTAGATATGAACAGACTGAGATAGATAGATAGATAGATAGATAGATAGATAGATAGATAACCAGGAAAACGGTCAGGCGGGAAAATCTGAATACATACTTCTAGATAGATAGAGAGATAGATACATACATACATACATACATACATACATACATACATACATATACATACATAGATAGAGAAAAAGATATGAACAGACTGAGTGAGCAAGCCAGCTAGATAGATATACAGATAGATATGAACAATGTGTGATAGATATGAACAGACTGAGATAGATAGATAGATAGATAGATAGATAGATAGATAGATAGATAGATAGATAGATATGAACAGGCTGAGATAGATACATAGATAATGTACAGGATGAGATAGATAGATAGATAGATAGATAGATAGATAGATAGATAGATAGATAGATAGATGTTCGTCTCTATCAATCTATTTAAATTTCAATAAATAAATCGCAGTCTTTTGTGCGGCTTTATTCCCAGTAGGCATAACCCATGATGTCACACTAGACGATATCAAACGAACAAATTCCCAAAGAAAAGCAGGATGCAGACAAAGGAAGCATTCTGAATTCTAGTCTCATATGCATCTTGTGTTCATAAACCAATTTTTTTTCAGGTAACAACAAAAACAAAGAAATGTTCTTGCCGTTAGAGTAATTTTGGAAGGAACTCTCTTCAGTCCCGAAACCTTTTTAAAAAATGGAATCAATCCATCAAGACAGATATACCGCGATATATATATATATATATATATATATATATATATATATATATATATATATATATATATAGTTTATGAAAAACTAGGTTATCCGTATGGGAAAACTTAAGGAGGATAAAATCCAGAGAGCTCAATGTAAATCCAGAGCAAATAATTTAAATAAAAACAGACCACTTTAAGGTTCCATGTAATAAATTATTTCACCACAGCCCTTTTAAAGGAGTGCGGATCATCAGAGTTTAAAAGGGCTGTGGTGAAATAATTTGTTACATGGAACCTTTGTTGTCTATTTTATTTAAATTTATATATATATATATATATATATATATATATATATATATATGATTTTGTTTCATTCCCACTCAGCTTTTTGGGAATCCTTTTCTATATGAAAATCTAATGAATCATTTTCTGTGGGAATCCATGGAGACCTTCTTTGCTTCACTGCTCGGATAACCTTATGATGTGTGAATATTTTATTATCAGTAGCAGAAATGTGCAAATGACAAAGCACCTGACCCCCCCCTGCCAGAAAAGATAAACGCAGGCAAAGAGATGATGGGTTTGTGTCACTTTCTAAGTGCTCAAAAGTCTTCTTTGAAAAGAAGCCATCAAGTGCTGGTTACAAAAATAATTTATCACTTTTTTTATATATATATATATATATATATATATATATATATATATATATATATATATAATACAAATTGAATTTCCTATATTTCTGATGAGGTAATGGATTTTTTATTAATTATTATTAGTCTACTTTAGGATATTAAACTGAGCAGATATAAATGTCTTGTGAGTCGGAGAAGGATTTGCCTTTGTAAGGCCCTATACAACCTTCTTTGATCGGTGATGCACTCCTTGGAAGGGTCGCTATAAGAACGTCGTATCTACTCGCTGAGTATAAACTCACCAACCCTAACTTAGATCACGGTATGAATCACCCTAGTGTATAATAACACGGCTCATAATCTCGGTTGGGCCTACTGTACGTTGTTACACTCAGTCAGCCTCAGGATGGAGGAGATGTGGAAGCGCCTTAAATTTGACAATTTACTCAGCCGTCACACCTGCTATTGCACCAGCTGGGGAAAAAAGAGTTCGGTTGACGAGCGGGGATCTTGCTAGTCACTCGTATGGGCCTAATACTTTATAGACTTTATATAGACACAATCATATCTATCTCTATATATATAATTCTCAAAATGTGTGTGTGTGTGTGTGTGTGTGTGTGTGGGTGTTGTTTATGCATTTCTTCAGTTTTCATTCGATTTCGATGAATATTTTTGTGTTTGATAGATAATTCTTCAGTGCCGGTTTTCAGTCCAAATTGGCTGGAAAAAATTACATTGAAGATGAAAAGTCGAAAAAACTAATTTTTTTCACTTTGCGCAAAAATCAAAGGCAAAGTTTGATGCCTTCAAAAAACAGCGTACAATCAATTTAGTGAGTTGGAATCTACCGCAAAATATTATTAGAATTATAAAAAAAAAATATATTGTAAATAAAAATTAAAGTTTATTATTATGACGGTCCATGGAAGAAGTTCCTTCTTTGCAAGATTGAGAACGCAAACACGGCCGTTTTTCAGAGTCCCCCCCACCTTCAAATTGTTAACCCCGCATTTAGGGATATGTCACTGTCGCACCCAGTTGTTGTTATTAATATTGGTTTTCGGGTGGGATGACCCAAACTGCTCCAATTGAACGGCAAAAATTCCCAGTCATGTTCGCCAGCGTGCATGTATATACGAGATTTATTTAAGAATTTTTGAGGCTTTTACAAGAGATATTTATTAATTTCAAACAAGTACAAAACTCCAATCTACTTCAAAATCGGATCATTTGACTTCCATTCAATTTTTATTCGAGCTCACCATGCAGCCACATCGTGAAGGCCCCATGGAAGACATCCAAAGTAAAGGTATCCTGGACCTTTGTCAACGCCTCCTTCATCTTTTCAATGCCCTGAAGTTCTCTTTGAGCTTGAGAACAACCAAAATTCACAAAGAGCAAAGTGTTGAATGTCGGGAGGGTGAGGTAATGTTTTGATGCCTATTACTGTCAACACAACACAACAAGCTTCCAAATTATCTTCACGTCTGGCCTGTATTCTGTAAACTCGTCAGCTCTGAAAAGAAGTGTTTACTAGAACGGGTTCAAAGAGCTGTGGGAGTAGGCGAATTTCCGTACGGTTTTCATCCCTCTAAAATTATAACGTTTCGAAGGAAGAAAACCCGACCGACGTGACACCAGTTCTGTCAGCCGACAGATGAATTCCGACGGAAATTAGTAGCTGTTACAGGTGTGTCTCCTTTTAGTTGTCAGTTCAGCTTATTTTATATATATTAATGATAAAATAAAATTACCATAATATAGAGCAGTTATAACTGCTTCTCATAAACATAGCCTCAGAACTTCTGCAATGTCCATCGTATGTCCGAGAAAAAATACAAATAGAATTTCCTGAATTATAATGTCGACGAATTTGGGGCAGATTTCACATTCACTCTGCAAAGTTTCCCTGACAGCATCGATATTGCCAAAAATATTCATACCGTATTCATTTTGATAATGTACAGAATATGTATCAACCCTTACAGTTCAAATCCTACTGCTGTTTCCATCAGCAGAAACTGTAATTTTTGGGGGCCGGATATTGTGTGAGTAGCCAAATTTCCGTACGGTTTTCATCCCTCTAAAATTCTAACGCTTCGATGGAAGAAAACCCGACCGACGTGACTCCAGTTCTGTCATCCGATAGATGAATCCGGAAGGAAATTAGTACGCGTTGCTAATTTCCGGTTCTTAATTCAAGGACACCGCTCTCGACTTTCATTCCGTCGTCGTTGTTTGAGAAACCATAGTTTATGGCGGGTCGCGTCCAATTCTTTCTTCTCTTGTTGAGTTTGCTTATGGAGGAGAGAATGTTCCTTTTTTAAATCATCATATCTTTTCAGTTGAACACACGAGAGACTTTGTCAGCCTTATTTTCCAGTGACATATCGATTCTTAGTTCCTTTCTTCAAATCAATCTAATTCCTTTTTTTTTTTCATCGATTTTATTCCCTCTCTCTCTTTATTTTGCTGCTTTCTATACATCTCTCTTTCTTTCTCACCATCTCTTCAGCTAATCATTTCTTTTTGTTCATCTCTCTTTCTTAACATCTTCATAGGGCCCTTCCACACGGTGTAATTGTTCGCAAGCTTGTCTCGCGAGGTCAATTGCAACTGAATAGCGAGTTCGATCACCACTGGGTGTCCCATACATTCAGCCTTGTGCTACATCTAAACTATACTTAGAAAATAACCATTTTGACATTTCGTCGTAGTGTAATGGTTAGCAAGCTTGACCCGCTAGACCATTTACGACTGAGTAGTGAATTTAATCCACACCGGGTGCTCCATACTTTCGGCTTGGTGCCGCATTTAAACTACGTTTGAAAATCTCTTAGGCACTTCGACGTGATGTAATAGTTAGCACACTGTTTCGCTAGATCAATTACAACTGAATATTGAGATCGATACTTTCTCCGTGCTCCATAATTTTGGCCTTGTGCCACATCTAAGCTACGCTTAGAAAATCTCGTATCTATTCCCTCCACCTTCCTCTTACATTTTACTTGGCCTCTCTTCGTCCCTCATTCTGTCTTTTTCTTTCCTTCAACTCTCTCTCTCTCTCATTTCTCCATTTTCTTTTCTTATCTGTTCTCTCTCGGTGTCATATTTGCTTTTCTTTGTCGCGTCTTTTGTTGTCGTTTCCTATTCTTTTTCTCTCTTAGACTTCAATCTTCTCCTCCTCTTCTCTTTCTTCTACTTCACTCTATCACGTGTCACTTGCTCACTCTCTCCTACTTCCCTCACTCCTCTGTCTATTTTCCTTCAGTGACGTTCAGCAGTGTCGAGCTCGGGCTTAGATGCGGGACCGCTTGTAAACAAGGGTGTACTCTAAGCCAGTGGGGTCAGCTTGCTACGGCAGGCGTGCCACACGTGGCACGCCAAGCAATTTCCAATGGCACGCAGCCGCAAATAACGTCACGAAGTCCGAACCAATAACTACTACAACACAAAGAAGATATTTACACTTTTCAATTTTAAGATATACTAAAGTATATATATACTATATATTACTATATAAAATATCTTGTAGAACACGTATATTGACCTTGACTTGTATAAAAAAAATACGTCTTCTGTTGGCACACTGAATGATTTTAAAGCCCTAAGTCGGCACATAGTTAGCACAAGGTTGCTGCCCCTTGCTCTATGCGACCGACTATAATCCGAAATAACCCACAAAGTGTTGATAAAACGTAAAAAAAATCAATCAGTTCGATTTTCTCACTTCCGGTTTTACCTCTTCTCTCTATTTCTCTTTTCTCTTTGACTCTCATCCTCTTAGCTTCTTTTTTTTCTTTCTCTCTCTCTTATCCCGGGTATTTATGTTATTTTGTCTCTCACGCTTTTTAATCTCTCTCATATTTACTTTTCTTTTTCTATATAAACCATTTTTTGTCTATATGAACCTTCTACATTTTTTTTGTCTCAGTTCTTCACTGCGTTGTAAAACACTCAGGTTTCTCGGAAGTAAACCTGTAATGTTGCCTTTTACTCTCAAATCTCGTTCAAATCATTACACGTTATATCTAAAAATAATCACAATTTTAAAATGAAATCACATACATGACATCTAAAAATGGCTAACAAATGCTTTACACGCCGTAGGGCAATGTTTAAAAAGGTAGTCATTTTCACTTTTATTTTTGATTCGTGAAGTAATTTTTGTAAAAAATTGCGTGTGATTGGGAACTCTTCATTGTCACACTTTACTTCTCTTTTTCTTTCAACTTCCTAGTTTTTCTTTCTTTCTTTCTTTCTTTCTTTCTTTCTTTCTTTCTATCTTCCATTCTTTCTTTCTCCCAGCCTTTTCTTCTTTTTGCCTTTTTACTTCCCGCTTTTTTCATTTCTTTTTCTTTCTATGGTTCTTTCCTCCTTTCTTTCACCATTTGTATTTATTCGCTTTCTTATTCACTATTTATTTTCTTCAATTCTTCGTATTGATTGCTATTTCATTTTGTCTGGTACAAGGCCGCAGTAGTGGAGTACTCATTTACGCGTGAAATCTTTACACAAACGAATTTACCTGCAAACCATCATTGCTCACTTTCGTAACACGAAGCCCGCTCAATTTTCCTCTTCTCTCTCTCTCCACATCTCTTTCTCTTTCACTCTCTCTAACCTGTCACTGTGTCGCTGAATACTAAGGATATATATATATATATATATATATATATATGTGTGTGTGTGTGTGTGTGTGTGTGTGTGTGTGTGTGTGTGTCTTGTGTGTGCGTGTGTGTGTTTTGATAACTTGGAGCAAAGACAAACTAGAAGAAATAGAAAGACGAAGCTATTACTGTATCAATCTTACATGGATGCAACAGATCTAGGGGCACTGACAATTCTGTTTATTAATAATAATAAAAGTACTTATTTTGCACAATAATATTTATTTTTAGCACAATCTTCTTGTTTGTGAATGCACTTAACAGTCTGCTGCTGCTGCTATATATCCCGAGATTCTTGACAAAATGCAAAAAATAATCTGAAATTTTGTCGGTCCTTACCTGACACCTAGGTCCTTGTCCCTTTTCCGTCGCTGTGACGCAACCTCCCTCTGTCTTTTCGATAAATATTTCCATGGCAATTGTTGTAATGAACTCTCCTCTTTGGTAGCTCGAACGCGTGCATTTAAGCGTACAACTAGATTGTTTTCAAGGTCAAACAAATTTCATTATACACCTCGAAAATAGATTTATATTACTGTACACCACAGCTAATCACCTTATATGAGGAAAATATAGAAACCGATTGCACCCTGTCAGTGGGCCAAAATTGACCGTATGGTGAAAGAAAGGAAACTAAAGTCTCATCGTTTTATGTTGAAATAGCTAGATCTCACCGTAAGTTCAATTCTAATAATCTTTTTCTCGTCTGTGCAACTCTCTTCCGGCTTTTTGCTTCTGTGCCACCCTTTAATGTTTAAATTCAACGTCTGTCATCATCTTCTGTCTTTCTGAATCCTGTTCTTTCATTGTCTCCTCACTAAAATCTTCTCATTCTTTCTCACACCTAATCACCCCTTGCGTCTTCAAGGCATTGCCTCCTTGTTTGGAATGAATTGATGAAAAAATGTCGCTACAAAATTATTGATATATACCGCCATGTTTCTATATTTATACACCCTTGTGCAAATTAATTGAAACAAAAAGAATAATTCAGTTATTATTTACTTTTTTTCAAATTTCTCAATAAAACATGACCCAGTGCACATATAAGTACTTTGTATGTCTATTCCACAAAGTTGTTCCTTGCAGACTGACCACAGATTCTCGATTGGATTTAAATCAGGAGAGTTTCCCGGCCAGTCTATAGTATTTTGATTTTCAAGTTTTCATACGCTTCCTTGGAGTAATGTCTATCGCAGACAATGGCCGTAGGCCAACTAATTGACAGTTGAGACAATAGTGTCTGGGCGTGATAAACGTCTGATCCAATCACGGATGACGCAAGGTCAAACAAATTTCATCATACACCTTGAAAATAGATTTATATTACTGAACACCACTGCAAATCACCTAATCTGAGGAAAATATAGAAACAGATTGCACCCTGCCAGTGGACCAAAACTGGCCGTATGGAGAAAGAAAGGAAACTAAAGTGATTGTTTCAATTAATTTGCACAAGGATGTCGGTCCTAGAAACCGCTTTCTTCCATAAGACGGTCAGCTTTCTCGACTGTCGATTAGTTGTCCTACGGCCATTATCTGCATGGGACGTTACTTCAAGGAAGCTTACGAAAATTGTAACACTGCTCGAACACAGTGGCAAGCCTTTACCAGTGAGTAAATCAAAGTACTATAGACTGGCCTGGAAACACTACTGATTTAAATTCAATCAAATATCTGTGGTCAGTCTGCAAGGAACGACTTCGCGGAATGGACATACGAAGTACTAACTGGGTCATGTTTCACTGGAAAAATATTAAAAAAATTAATAAATAATAACGGAATTATTCGCTTGTTTCAATTAATTTGCACAAGGGCGTATAATATATCGTTGAGAATGGGTCTTCCCATTTTCTCTCTCTCTCTCTCTGTCTCTCTCTGTCTCTCTCTCACACACATACACACACACTCACTAACTAGCACACACACACATACACACTCACTCTTAATATATTTAGATTATTCTTATTTTCATATTTCTCAGTCTCTCTCCCCTTTGATCAGTACCCATTCTTTCTTTCATTCTTTTGCACATATGCCAAAGCGCATTTTGTTTTTAGTTCCATCTACATGTTCACCTATGTTTCCTTTCCTTCATTTCTCTTTCCGATCAAGGTTTTTCTGTGAGTTCTTATATTCCTCCGTTTCCTTATTTATTCTCTCGTTTTTCAGTTTCTTGTTATTCTTTGACCCTTCACCAGTGTAGCCCGGCCCCAATTAATCGACATCTCCGCCCCTAACAATCCGGTCTTTACAAAGATGTTCCTCGGCAATAACATTTTCAGAGTGCCAACTTAACACTTTCAGTGTTGCTCGGTGCACTAGTGAAAGCAACGGGCGACGGCTCACGTCTCAGACCTTCAAACTGCCTCCTTCTTCACTGTCCATATCTCCACAGTTGGCACTGAAATGACGAAAGGAAGCTTACTTTGGTGATGACAGCTTTATGCGTTCTGTTTTAGTTGCCACCATCTTTCATCAATTTGTTTTGTTTTGTTTTTTTTTTGTTGTTTTTTTTTAATTTCCCTCTTTTTTTGTCAGGATTGATTGTGGGGAAAAATGAAAAAAAAAAAAAAGAATCAAGATTCCAAAGACGCTAATCCTCAGATTTGCTATAAGCAGTCTTTGTCAGCTTGGAACCAGTGGAAAGCCCAAACCAAGAAATACGTAAACGCTTAGTCTTTTAATAAGCCCATTACAGCAATACAGTTGTCAATTATTATCGCCCGTTCGTGAGCCTATTATTTTTTGAACGAGGAAATAGCATGTATTTAATTATTCAAATCACGGAGGAAAAAGAAGATAAAAATTGATATTTAGGCAGCTTGTCGTAGTATGACGGTAAGGAACTGAATTAAAACGCCTTTGGAATATACCGCCATATCACTCTTCCAAGAGAACATTTTCTGTCTTAAAAATCTACATTAATCAATTGTCCTTAAGCTAGCAACGAATAAAAATGTACAAACAGAACATCCACGAGGCAGGTCACATAGGTTTAATATTTATTAAATTTAGTTGGTACTTTGCACTGTCGAGAAGAACGTCATATTAAGAAGAAACTTGAGTATAAAGCTTCCCAATGAATATAATTGCCATTATTTTTTTGTCTTTAATGGGTATGTGTAGGCATGTCGGAACAAGGACATATGAATCTTAATTAATGTCAATTTGTGAAATCTCTGTTTTGATATATGTTTTATATTTGATGCATATCTTTATGGGTCATGTCATTTTAAAACAGAAGCAAATAAGGTTCTCCACAACTTCCTAGCTTTATATCACTTAGTTGTCTTTTTATCAACTCTTTCATTCCATGTTCTAATATCCAATGAGGCGAATTCGTTAGAAAGGATACTGGCTTGATTCCATTTTTGCCTTCAATATGTTCTGTGAGTGGTAAATTTTTCCACGCTCTCTATCCTTATTAGGATTCCTAGATATTTCGTTTCTGTCTTTTCTGATTCTAAATACAAGTGTCGCTTTCGTTTCCAATATCTTTATAAATATTTTCGGTGCTCACATGTTCCAGTCATGGTATTCTCAGCATCCTTCTGTAGAAACATTTCTCTTTTGCCTCACGGCTTATCTTCAATTGTGGAATAATTGAGCGTAATTTACGGTCGTATAGCAATATTTATATCACATAGAAATTCCTCACATTTATTTGTATCTAGCGAAAATCTATTTCGTAACACTTGGTTTTCGAAGACATATAACTCTAACTAAAGACTTCCAATTGCAATCAAACTTTTAAACGTAAAGGCAATAATAACATTAATATTATTATAAATAATAATAATAATAATAATAATAATAATAATGTTATGGTAGTTTACACACGCAGCTATAAATAGGAGCAGGTACTGCCTTTTGGAGAGGGAAGTTTCCAGCAGTCAGCTCTGGCAGTAGGACCGAACATTCTTGCTGCAATACTCTCGTTTGTATATGTTTGTGTTACTGATTCCGTTAATATATTTGTTTAAATCAATTCCTCTCTTACGTCTTTATTTCTCGCCCTAACAAGATCACAAATAATAATAATAATAATAATAATAATAATAAATAGCAAAATATATACTCTTATCTTGAATAGATTACCCTCTATTCAAGGAACACAATTACATATTTTTTTCTCTTTGATTGTATGACACCTCATCCGTTTTCATCGTCAGATTAAAAACAAATTTGTCTCTGGCTGAAGCTTGGGGTGAACTCGTACTCATGGCAAAATGTATCAAGAACAAAAACAACAATAATAATAATAATCGTAACAAATAATTTTATTCTTGCTTGCCGGTACCAATGTATACAAACAAGAAATTACTAAGCACACATATTGAAAAATTGTGTTATCCAAAAATGAAGATTTTGTGATAAATATCCAGAAATAATTGGCCATCTTGTATCAGGTTGCACAGTGTTAGCACGCACTGAATATAAAACTCGTCATGATGAGTAGGTCAATATCTACACTGGAACATGTGCAAATTTTACGGGGATGAAACTGCAAAAACCTTGTGTGAACATCATCCAAACCCGGTTAGGACCTGCAACGATAATATGGAAATTTACAATACACACAGACAGAATAATGAAAATTAATCGACTGGTCATCGTGATAAAAGACCAAAAGAACATAAGGTGCGTTCTTATTGGCATGACATTCCTCGCAGATTGTAATATATCTTTGAAGATCTTCAAAAAATATCAAAATACAAGGATCTTGAAGTGGAAATTCAAAAAATGCAGCACATGAAAACATCAATAATTCCAGTTGTAGCTGGAACTATCGGCTTGATTGGAAAAGATTCCGATAGACTCAGTTAAGGGATTCTTGGTGGCCGATTCCTTAGAGAAATTCGAGAAATTGTACTCACAAAAAAAGCTCATATATTACGAAGAGCTTTATCTACGTAAAATGGGTGTGATCATAGATTGTTTTGTATCAGTGCAAGATGTGAAGCCATTTTTGACATTAGGTAACCGGAAGGAAATATATATACATCAGAAAACCAAGGAAATAATAATAATAATAATAATAATAATAATACACATGAACTGAACAACAGTAGCTATGGTTACAAAATAAATAAGAAAATATTCAATCACCTACTCTACATGGATGATCTCAAACTCTTTGCCAAAGACGACAATGAGTTGAAAGGCCTCCTCAATATTGTAAAATACTTCAGTGACGACATAGGTATGGACTTCGGATTAGATAAATGTGCAAAAGTAACTTTCAAGAAAGGTAGAATTACAGAAACACCCTTAATAGATTTAGATTTTGTCACAAAAATTAGGGAACTGGAGCATGGTGAAGCTTATAAGTACCTAGGAATTAGCGAAGTAGATGGCATACAACACCCCCAAATGAAGGGAAAATAAGAAAAGAATACTACAGGCGTGTACGTCTGGTACTAAATACTGAGCTAAACTCAAAAAACAGGATATCAGCCATAAACACATTGGCTGTCCCTGTGGTGCAATACAGCTTTAATGTCCTTAACTGGACCATAGCTGAAATTAAGCGAATGGATGCCAAAACGAGAAAGCTACTCACTTGCTATCGCATGCATCATCCCAAAGCTGATGTCGACCGTCTGTATGTGCCCAGATCCGAAGGAGGCAGAGGATTAGTTCAACTAGAACTGTCCTACAAAAACTACAACAACTGGCCTCAAAGATATTTGGAAACTACAGAAGACTGGATGATGGTATGCGTCAAGGAACATGAAAGTAGTAAGCGTCTCTACTCCGTAATGAAGGAAGCCAAAAAATTCAAAATGGAGTTCCAAATGGGCGTAGAGATGCAACTACAGCACAATACACCGGCTGAAACTGCAAAATACCTAAAAAAAGATAGCTAAGACGAATGCAACCGACCAGTTACAGAAGCGATGGCAAGATAAACCGCTTCATGGCCAATACTCTGCCCGTACCAAACAAGCTGACGTGGACAAAACCCGTACCCATCAGTGGCTACGTAGTGCAGGGTTGAAAGCGGAAACTGAAGGTTTTATCCTTGCTGCGCAGGACCAATGCTTGCTAACTAGGAATTATCAAGCACATATACTAAAATATTGTGTCAGCCCAAAATGCAGATTCTGTGATAAATATCCAGAAACGATTGATCATCTTGTATCAGGTTGTACGGTGTTGGCACCCACTGAATATAAAACCCGACATGACAGAGTGGGCCAATATCTGCACTGGAAAATCTGCAACTTCTACGGGGAAGAAAACTGAAAGAAACTGGTATGAACACCACCCAGACCCGGTTACGGAGATAGGACCTGTTACAATTCTATGGGATTACACAATACACACTGACAGAACAATCAAGGCCAACCGGCCAGATATTGTTATTAAAGACCACAAACAAAAACGGTGCCTCCTTATTGATATGGCAGTCCCTGCTGACTGCAATGTATCTTTGAACATATTCAAAAAGTTGTCAAAGTACAAGGACCTTGAAATAGAAATCTCGAAAATGTGGCATATGGGAACATCAACAATCCCTGTTGTAGTTGGAGCCCTAGGACTGGTTGGAAAAGATTGCAGTAGACTAATTGAAGGGATTCCTGGAAGTCCATGCCTCAAGGAGATACAAAAAATTGTTCTGAAAAGTACAGCCCACACCTTACGAAGGGCTTTATCTATGTAATTTTTTTGTCAGTGGAAAGTGTCATGACGCCATTTCTAACCTTAGGTCCCTGGGCGGGACCCGGAAAGAAATGTGTAAACACCAGAAATCAAAGAAAATAAAAATAATAATAATAATAGTAATGCACCAGGGATAGGTTTCATAGTTTCTCATCTTAACTAATTAGGGATGTTAATAAGTAAATGTTTACTTGGTTAATTAATATAGACGTAATTCTGAAATTAATCATACTCACTGTAAAATTTGTGAGTTTTAAAAAGACAGTTTCGTTGAAGGAATGATATTTTTCTTACAAAAATTGACAAATAAATGAAAAGATTCAATATATGAGTCAAATCGAAAAATCATTGAAATATTATCTGCAACTTGGTCACAAAAAGCTTGTTCAAAATTATTCATACTCATATCTGTATCGTTAGTTGTAATGATCAATTTCTGACAAGACTCAACAGGCATTTTCTCCCACTCAATATTTGCTACGATTTTTAGGTATAATTTTACCACTAACATAATTAAATATTCGGACAGAGTTCTTTGGGTTGAAAACTCTGTATCTTTTTCTCAATCCAATATTAACAGACCAAAAACACATTACAACGTAATGAAGTTAAGTTTTTAATTTAATTTTTTTCTTTTCTTCTTATAATGTTCTTTTTTTAACAATAAATTGACAGAACCGGTGTACATTGTCAGTTGATTTTAATTAAACTTGTATGCTCATATACACAATTATATTCTTTTTTTAAGCATTCCACCCCAAGCAAGGCGGGAAGCCACTAGCACGCAAGGGGTTACAGAGTTGGAGCGAGAACAAAGAGGGGTGATAGAGGAAATGATGAAGAGAAGGTTAGGGGATAGATCAGGGCATCTGGAGACGTCGATTTACATTACATTGGAATAGTTGGGGATTATAGCTATCAGGGAAACAGGAAAAGGGGAGGGAGTTCCACAGGCGAGAAGTGCGAGACATAAAACTATTGCAGTAGAAGAGACGGCTGTATTCGACAGTGAAAGGGTGAGAGCGAGAAACCCAGTCTAGTTGAACGCTTAAATTTATGAAGTCTGAGATATATATATATATATATATATATATATATATATATATATATATATATATATATATATATATATATAATTAAGTAATTCATCGAGTCTAGAAGAAACCTCAACAGAATGCAGAAAGCACTGGTCGGCCGTTCAGTCCTATATTTGGGACTCAAATGAATCCTAAATATCGGACGTAACGGCCGTCCAGTGCTTTCTGTTGAGGTTTCTTTAGACTCGAGGAATTACTTAATTATAATTATCTCAAATTATCCTAATAATTTCTATTACACACATACACAAACACACATACACACACACATTTATATATATATATATATATATATATATATATATATATATATATATTATCCAAATGAAAAATATTATTACGTATTTACCTTTTACTTCGAGATCAAAAACATCACGCTATATCCTTTCGTTGGATACAATTAAAAACCAATCGTACTTAATATGAATGACATTCATAAATAAGATGAAATATTTCTTTTTAAATGGTGCTGATTAACACATAGACGAGTTAATATATACATTGTTTGTTTGTTTTTCAATTCTCTATGAGAAATGAAACATTTGACGTTGAGTTTTTTTTTTTTTTTTTTTTTTGGTATCACTTTATTTGTATTGACAGATAGAGATTCCTGTTTTTCGAGCAATTTGTTTTGCCATAAACAAATATTGCAGAAATCACGGAAAAGGAAACGAATCCTCCTGAGTCTGACGCCGGCATCATTATCGCAACTTCATTTGGAGAGCTCAATCTTATCGCTCCCTCGCTTTCTCTCTCTCTCCTCCTCTCTTACTCTCTTTCTCTCTCTTGAATATATATATATATATATATATATATATATTCTCTGTATTTAGTCAGTAAATGTATTTTTAAGGCCAATACTATTGAAAACGAAATATTTAAATCAATTAATTTTAATCATAGTCTTTTCCAAACTAACAACAATCCTTCTCAAACAAGGAATAAATTCCGCAAGAATTATCCAAAGTTCATTTTAGAAGAATGAATAAAAGTAATATGATCCAAGGTTTCAACTTTCTTAAATCATCATCAGGATAGAGACAAATTTGTGAGTTTAATAAAAAAAAAAAAGGACTTAATTTATGGACGTGTAAATCTAGGTTCATATTAATTTTACTCTAATTTCATAAAGTTTTTAACTTACTCGATTATAATGATACATATTTAAAAAAAAATATGGAAAGTAATTCATCGCCTACAAGGCCGCCTACTCGATTTTGAACTCTATCGAAGCTGGAAAGAGGATTGTACAACCTATATATGATAGCAATACTTCATATTTGGTCTGATCTGACTCTTGAAAAGTTAAAGTATAGCAGCTGGAATCATGTGCTTTCTGAAGCGGTAGCGGAAGCCAACATTTTTTCAAGCGTCATTTATGATGGATCGAATATATGAGTTGCACGTGAGGTCGATTTAGTGATTGATTGATTCTTTTTTTACGTCTTATCAAGCCTTTTCTGATTATTTCAAGACAGAAAAATATTTTTTTCTAGATTGTAAGAATTTTTTGTAGATAATAAAGACTTAGTGACACAAGTCTTGTTAATTAACCCACAGTTGGAGAGAGAAGAGGTGGATTTCTACTTTTTTTCAAGTGCATTTGAGCTTAAATGAATATAACGAACCCAACTGGAGTTTGAACTCGATTCTCCGATTAACAATTCCGAGCCATTATTCATTCCACCACCCGCATATCCAAGCTTATAAACGTGTTACACAAGAAATAATACAAGAAGTGAAAGTGACTGGTTTGGCGTGACTGCTATCAGCTCGACTCGGTCTAGGCAGTAAAATGTTCCTGCATCTATTCACAAGATGTGGGCGTAAACACTTGATGTCGAGGATCTATTTGAGGCCCAAAAGCTGATCAAATACTGACAGCCTGTAATCTACTTTAAACTGTTATGTAAATTTAGGTCGTCTTCAGTAGATTTTACAAGTTCAATCAAAAGTTAATATTGCTGCTCTTTTAAACGTTAACACAATACAATGCCCAAGAGGCACTCAAGATAGAGTAGTACTGTGTGTAATTGTATTAGCGTAAGTCCTTACTGACACTAATACAACTCCACAGTGTTATGAGTGCATAGGTGAATTAGACATTAGAAGGAACCGGAAACCCCATCCTAAACAAAAAGCAAGGGTTAAACCTTTATTCCTAAGACACATCCATAGACTAAATGTTATTATTGATGAGATAATGTAGGGGAAGACAACATAATGCAACAAACATTTAAAATGTTCCTGCATCTTCAGTGTTTCTCTCAATGTATAATTATAGCTAGCATTTGTTATATTTTATCCCCCCGCCTATATTTGATTCCCTCAATAAAGCCATTTAGTCTGAAGAAATTCTTTCAAAGAAGAAAATAGGGTAACATAGGATTTTTTTTTATTTGCATTGGATTACCCATTTAATGGTCCAAGGTTAGGACCATGGAAGAACAATACGAAACACAACAGTAGAAATAACAAAGAATATATTACACGAGAAATAATACAAGTGAAAGAGTTAGTAAGACTGTCCGAATGGTTTGGCGTGACTGCTATCAGCTCGACTCGATTCAATAACGTTCCAATACCTAATCCGTTCGTCTCTCTTGAGAGGCGTAGTATATATATAGCGTTCGGAAGAGTTCATTCTGTCAGTCTAGGTAGGCACCATGACAACCCATCACTTAAAACATACTCCCATTTGTTTTGTGTTTGCTTGTTTTTATGTTGTTTAAAAATGGCACATTTAAACTGGGCAGAGATAATCAACACAAAATTTTAAATACTTCTTTCAGTTTTAGAACATGTTGTATAATAATAATAATAATAATAATAATAATAATAAGACAAGAAATTCAGGAAATGTATGCTTATTGACATAGCAATACCATCTGAGAGAATCAACCGCATGAAAATTATCGAGAAAGGTCCTGGAGATCGAGATTAACAGGATGCGGGGAATGAAGACTGAGACTGTACCAGTAGTAATCGGAGCACTGAGCTCCGGTGAGAAAAGAAATGGAAAGTTTTACTAACCGTTTCCCAGGTAACATCAACACACAAGTTCCACAGAAGAGCGCCCTACTAGGAACATACCATATTCTAAGAAAAAGTGCTATCAGTTAAATGACAATTCTTTTATAGCACCTGAGGACCATAGTTTGGACGCGGCTCTACAGGATACAAAGCCGGAAACATAACATGCACAAATAATAATAATAATAATGGGTAACATCAACATACAAGATGCCCAGAAGATCACCCAACTAGGAACATCTCATATACTAAGAAAATTGTTATCAATTAAATGATAATTCTCCTGTAGGTCCTAAAGACCATAGTTTGGACTCGGCTCTACAGGATACAAAGCAGGAAACATAACATACACAAATAATAATAATAATAATAATAGTAGTAGTAGTAGTATTAAAATGTACTTATTGAAATCACACTAAAATAATTGGTAGGGAATCACTTTGAATGAACTGAATGAAAATGGCATCAAGCTCCAATTTCTTAACGTAACGATTTGGGTGAGTGCGAGTTTTTAGTATACAGAGACGAAACCATCAAATAAAAAGTTCATGTGCTTTGAATTTACGCATCAATCACCGACGCCTAAACGCAAATCGAGTTAAGTCAGACCTGCAGGTTGGGCGAAAAAATAGGCTAAAACTAAGTAGTTATGCCCATTACACAAAGGAAACATTTTATTACATTTATTTTCATTTGTTATAATCATATTGTTTTTCAAAACGCTTTATGTACATTTGTTTAACACTTTCATTTTTGTAGCACAGTTTAATCTCTTAAGTCCTCAAAAGGTCCTTCTTCAACATTGCAACATACCTCTAAAGGACCCCTATGGCACAAATCCCGGTCTGAATCAGTTTCAAGAAATACTTCTGAGATGTACTGTGTGGGGATGTTTCTCATAAAACTTGTGCTTTACTGTCCCCCACCCACTAAATTTGAAATCCATTGGTCTTAGCTCAGGTGAACGTGATGGCTATTGGAAGCTGCCCTTTATTTCGAATCAACGCTGTGGGAACGTTTGGTTAAGATAGTCACTTAGCGCTAAAGCATAATGGGGAGGCGCTCCATGATTTAGATAAATTAGATCGAAAACGTGAAAGAAATAGTGAAACAACTGTAAGCCTACTTTTATATATTTCTATAAGTAAATCTAAACCTCACAGACAGCGTTAAACAAATGAGCTTGTGTGTCCGTCTCTTTTTGTCAGTTATACTTAATGATTAGACTACTGAACGCCAGAAATATTCCCCGAATTATGAGAATACACAAGTTATCTGTACATTTTCATGCTTGAAATATCAGTCAGTTCATTGCAATTTGATCTTCTATTTCCCCGAACAGAATAAAATCGTGTTATCTATCAATGTAATCTGCAATAAAATGGCCACTTATATAGCCAGGATTAGGCGTTCGCACAGCCAAATTTAGAAATGAATTAGAAATTTGAGTGAGACGAACTGAAAGATCTATTTAAAATTAAGTTCGAATTACTGACTAACTGAACAGAAATGGCAAAGTGAGATTTATTTTGCTTTACTTTTATGCGCAAAAACATTTCAAGCAATTAACAAATGTATTCTTTTAAGAGCAACAAATTCATTTATTATCGAAATAGTTTTGACTAACGAACGTCTTAAAAATTGACGGAGTGGCGAACATTCTGAGACAAGATTTTTTTTTTTATACTCATCAAACAAAAGCAAATATGGATGTTGTTGAGATTATGTAATATGCATATATATATATATATATATATATATATATATATATATATATATATATATATATATATATATATATATATATATATATATATATATATATATATATATATATAATAAAAAGTGAACATAGAAGTCAACAGTAAGAGCCTCTAAGTGTTGACTTCTATGTTCATTTTTATATTTACACACGCTCTATCACTGATATTGAGCAAGTTTATCCCATAAATATACCATATCTTAAGACTATATTTCTTCATATATATATATATATATATATATATATATATATATTAGGTTGGTGCAAAAATAATGACATAAGAATGTCGTTTTTTAACGTTAAAAATACGTCAAAAACGACATTATTACGTCATTATTTATATATATATATATATATATATATATATATATATATATATATATATATATATAAGCAAATATAAATGGATATAAATCCGACAGAATGAAGAAAATATCTAGAAAAACAAACAAAAATCCTTAGCATGTGATTATGTTGTTTTAATATGAATCTAAGGATTTTTGTTTGTTTTTCCAGATATTTTCTTCATATATATATATATATATATATATATACGGAACCGTTTAGGTTAACAAGGTCGATTTTACTGTTTTAAACCTACATTCTCCATGATTTTCTCTCGTACATTCATATTTGCTCGATGCGTATCCAAATGTAAACAAATTACATCACACATTATGAAAAAAGAAAATATAAACATAAAAAATGTCTTAGTCGGACTTTGTCCATTTCATGATGTGTGACGTCATTTGTTTACATTTGGTTACGCATCGAGCAGGTATGAAAACAGTAAAATCAACCTTGCTAACCGAAACGCTCCTCTGTGGCTAAATCGGTAAAGCACGTCAGGCTATATATGAGTGATTATTTTGGGAATTTAGGCTAATCATATAGTCGAGCCTAGAATAATCCTCAACAGAAAGTACTGGAAGACCGTTTCGTCCGATCTCGGACTCATCAGCAATGTGAATCCAATACATGAGAATCGAACCCGG